AAAAACAGTACTCTGCAATCATCTCGATATCCCTGAGATAATTATTTTTTCAAGGCTCTGAAGTCTTCATCGCGGACATGTTTAACAGATTGATTACTGTGCATAATAAATCTGTGGATTGCAAATGCTGTATGCCAGCCAGCTGTATATCCCCACAGTTCCCTATTTGGTTTTATAGTGTATTCATTTTGCTCTTTTGGGGGATCCGACATAGACAATCAAGTGGACCAAAAAATCTAGTACGCTTAACAAAATCGTATCTGGTGTCACTAACATGAATCCAAGTTTATTTATAAACAAAAGTCTTGTTGGTTGTTGTATTGATGTCAGTGGGATGTAAAGGGGATACTCCTGGAGGAAAAGTCTGAAGTAACGACAGTTACGATAACGAAACTATTTTTACCTGATATAATAGGTAAAAATACTTTTAGCGACCATTTGATTACCTGTTGTACTGGTCATCTAAATGAAATAGTACCTAAAATTTTGGTTAGTAAGTTTTGCATAAAAAATAGTAAGTTAACTCGATATATTAGTAACTTTTATGTCTCAAAAAGTAAACTTGAATAAATATGGAACTATTTTTTTTTTTTTGAAGTAAAATACTACTCTATATCTGAAACTTAGTTTTTGGAGAGTAAGTTTAGTTCAAGTAATAGTAAGTTTTTATAGATTAGTAGTAAATATTGCTGATAGAATAGTAAATTTGGTTAATCATCAAAACTTAATAGTTTGTGGCATAAATTTACTATTTTACTTAAAGAAACTTACAATTGTACATATCATTTATAAATGTTATATGTTTGAAGCATTTTAAATATACTATGAAAATTTTTTTTTTTTGCATATGACCTTATAAAATATGTAAGAATAATTTGTCATATTTTAAATTTTTAATTATGGGAAAATAAACAACTAAGTTCCCAAAATATTTCACTTTTATTGTTTAAAAAATCTCAACTTGTTGGTTAAATTCAAAATAATTCTATTGTCAAAAATAGTTTTTCTCAAATTAACTTTCATGATTAGATGTCAGATACTAAAAATGGTAAAGTATCCCTCATACGTATGTCAAGTATATTTCAGACTTTTAGTAAAAAAATTTTTTGTTGTTAAAATAACATTGTATCATAGTGTACTAATTATTTTAGGACCATTTTATACGTGAACTAAATGTAATTTAAATTCTACAATAGATTATATATGCATGTGATTTTCATTTATAATTATTGGATCCTATTCTTATGAACAATCTCCCAAGGAAAAAAAATCCAGAGCATACTGATTTTCTTATATTAATTGTTATACATTTTGTCATTTTTATTATTATATTATTTCTCATTTGTTTAGGCTTTTACTCTTATTATTTATTGTGTCTCAGATGTAAACTTATTAAAACTTTATCATCTTATTATATTCATAGGCGTAAAATTATAAAAATTTTGATATATAAACAAGTAATATTCTATATATAACTAGGAAGATTTGTTGTAACAGTTATCCAAACTTTCAAACTTTTCAAAAATTGAAAATGATTTAAAACTTATAATACAACAAAATTTTATTACATATTTACAAGAATATGTGAAAATTCAAACTATTTTTCATAGTATTTTAAAATATACAAATAATTTTTTTAAATTATACCTATAATCATATATTATACAGGTATCTTATGAGTACTTACTAACTAAGGTACTAAGAATTAATGATTAATAAAACATTTTATCGTTATTTCAAATAAATTTCCTGATACTAGTTTGAAATATGTTTTAAAATAAAATAGCACATGTGTCCCATAAATCAGTAAGTTTTGATTATTAATCAATTTACCATGTTATTAGTAAGAGTTACTATTTATGTATAAAAACTTACTATTACTTGAATTAAACTTACTCTCTAAAAAGTAAGTTTGGGATATAAAGTAGTAATTTATTTATTTAAAAAGTAAGTTTAATATTTATTCCAACTTACCTTTTGAAGTATAAAAGTTACTAATTTATTACTGTTAACTTATTATTTTAGATAGAAAACTTACTTTCTTATTTTTAAGTGTTATCCTAATTAGGTGGATAGACCTATCAAATAATTAAATGGTCGCTAAAAGCAAATAAAAAATAAATCGAAAAAGGTCATCTAAGTGTTATCCTATTTATGTCTTAAAAAGTAAATTGAAATAAAAATGAAAGTTACGTTTTTTAAAAAATATATTACTACTCTATATTCGAAACTTACTTTTTGGAGAGTAAGTTTAGTTCAAGTAATAGTAAGTTTTCACGGATTAAAAGTAAATCCTATTGATAGAATAGTAAATTTGGTTAACCATCAAGACTTACTAGTTTGTGGCATAAATTTACAATTTTACTTAAAGAAACTTATATGAAACAAGTATTAGGAAGTTTATTTAAAATAATGCTAAGATTTTTTAAGTAAAATGATTGAAACTTAATATTATAGTTAGTAATTGCTGGTAACGTAAATGTATAATATATGATTGTATGTATCATTCATCAAGGTTATGTGTTCTAATAAATTTATTTTCTAGGTCACAAGTATAACAGTTAAATTTGTACTAATGTGGCATAATCTTTGAAAACTATAATAAATTTACCCACATATTAAGTTTCGTGAGATTCAAATATATTTTGTATCATTTAAAGTATGGATTTATATGCATTTTTTATGAAACTTACTTTTAATTGGCAAATAGTATGTAAATTATTATAAAATAGCATTTTATAATAATCATAATTTTTATAGGTGAATGGTATATAAATTGTTAAAAAAATTGCTAAAATTGCCAATTTATAAATGATCAAATCTTACTACTTTATGGCATATATTAGTTTGGTCAACTACAAAATTATCGTAATTAAGTGTACGTTGGTTGTTGATTTGAAATTTGCACCCCTGTTACTATTTCGTTATTTCTACCACAGGTTTTTCTAATCAAAGTAAAACAAAGTCAAATATATTTTCCTTTTGTATGTAGTATTTATATTTAGTAAAAAATTAATAAACCATGATTACATTTCAATGCTTCTAATGGAATTAGTAACATTTTCTAAATAAATTGGAATAATTTGTAAAATATGTTATTTTTTTACCAATATAATTAGGGGTGGCAACCGGGTCCAAATCGGAGTGGCGGGTCGAGTTGAGACCCAGGTATAATAGAAAACTGTCTGACGCGAACTTGACCCGCCAACCCGAAACGGGTCAGGATATCTGACCCGAATCTGAAAATTTCAGGTTGTCGGGTTGGCGGGACGACCCGAATGACCCAAAACGTAATTTTAATTTATTAATTTACCACTGTAATTTCTAATTCGCACAAGACTAATTACATAATCAAGTAATAAAAATTAAATAAATAATCCCAAACCTAATCTAAAATAAATTAAAAACACCGTAAAAGTGTTTTATTCCGAACCAAATACAAAATAAATAAAAGCAATATAAAAGTAAAAAATAATATAATACATTATTTGTCCAAATATAATAATTTCAACTTCAAATAAGTTAAATAAATTCATTTAGGGTTAAGTGATGAATGCCTTTGAAAAAAAAAGAATAACTTAGTTTAGTTAGGTAAAATAATTTTTAATTCATAAACAGGTGATCGGGTCGTATCGGGTCACCCACGGTTTGACCCGAATTCGACCCATTTTCTTTTCGGGTTTGTCGGATTCGACTCGATTCTGACCCGAACCCACGAAACCTCAATCCGAATCAATTAATTTCGTGTTAGGTTCATATTGTATTTTCAGGTCGTATCGAAAATTACCACCCCTAAATATAATCAAAAGAAATTTGCACTACTAAAAAGCAAGTGGAAGAAAGGATGATGGCATAAGTATAAATGTGAGCAACTATATACATATCACACCATAAGTTTAGGTTTGATTTGTTCAAAACATAGGTAATTTATTCGTTAGTAGATATAAAATGCATATTAATTTTCTACAAATGGAAAGTACAATTTCATATATACTAACCATTAACAGAATATATAGTTCGAACACGATCAATTGAACGCATATTTCGTTTGTTAAGCTATCATTTATTTTGTTACTTAGGTTGAATATTTACATTTGAATAGAGTATTGATATCGGAACTTCAATTATTCTTAACGAACTTCAATTAAGACAATTTTAAGGACAACAATTGCTAAAATATAGATTTCTTAAATTTTTTTGAAAAATGACAAAAAATTTACACTTTATTGTGAAAATATCAAATTATTAATTCAATTCAAATTAATTTTATAATAAAAAATATTATTCCTCAAACTGGTTGCTTAATCCGTATCTATGCCCGTACTAGTGTCGAATGAATAACTAAAATTTGAAATTGCAACAAAAAATATTTTTTACAAGAAAGGTGAAAATAAGTAGAACTTTTGCTAACTTTAACCCAAAATTTTAAAAAAAAAAGATAGGCCTTTTTGTAGTTTTGAATTCAAAAGTGTTGTGGTTGTGATAGAATTCTTTATTAAATTTTGAAACAGTTAAGAATTCAAGAGATAAGTACAAAGGTGACTTTTATTAGCCATTAATTTTAGTTAGAGTAGGAAAGGTCGATGCACTAGTAACGCTTGAATTTCTTTATGCCAAAGAATTCATAGTACCTAAAGCTGGTAGCCTTTTTACGGATTCATTGAAGGTATTTATGAGACCCCCACAATTATTGTTTCCTCGGTTACGATAAATGGACAAAGAAAGTCGAAACTAGTTTGTCCCATTATTCCTAATGGCAGATTGTCATTAAATAGAAAGGTGGATTACTTGTTTATTCGTAGAGGACGTGGGAAGATACTATTTGTTTGGACTTCTGCTAATCGGTTACTGAGGAAATCACAGCACTTAACTTCACAAAGGCCGATGCTCTCTCATAAAAGTGCCGTCAGTCTATATAGGAAAGCAACACACTTTATTTTTGGTCGCACCGAAACGAATGGATAAAAAGGAACTTCTAATGCTCGCAGAAATAAATAAGAGTATGTGCTCCTACGACAGAATGGATGTTACACCGCTATTAATGTGGTAAGGGCAAATCCCTTTAGTACTTTACAGCAAAATGTAGCATGTAGTAAGTAGCTGCTTATATAAAACCACTGAGGTTTTTCATGGTTAAGCATTAGAACAACTACTGCATAATAGTCCCTGACTAAGCTGAACAAAATGTGAGAGGGTCACAACTACAAGAGTAGTAGCGCAATCAGAAAACACCTATAAGGCTATAACAACTAAGACCAAAAGCGAGACTGTGTCCGATGCACCCCATGTTTAACTAGAACCATCCATATGGAATTCCATGATTAATGCTAATCTTCCCTGCTTCCTTTCACTTATTCCATCCCGTTGAGATATCCAGTCCTGAAAAAGAACATGACTTTCAGTTTTAGCATATTTGGAAGCGGAAATAACCAAATGATGACAATAATAACAGTAAAACGTATGCGTGCTTCAAGTCCCTAAGCTTTAGCAGCAGAACAAGCCATGCGAGGAACATTTCTATAGTAAACCACCTGTACCAATTTTGAGAATATAAGTATAAAAAACCAGAATAAGGCTGAAAGCCACAACAACAACTCAGAGAAACCAAACCACCCTTCTCCAATCATCAAGACAATATTAAATTTATCTAATAATATTCTCAAATATCTAAGAATGATATGAGATTTAATAAGTAATAAAATAAAAAACAAAGCATATGGCCGCCATACAAAAGCAGAACCCCAAGAATCCTAGAGAGTCCAAACCTTCTGTGCCCAGTAAACCAACAATACTAGCTTTAGGAGTAAGAACAAACAGTTTGAAGTAGATGATCAATATTATCAACAAAAGAGAAATGAATACTTTTACCTAGATATCTTGCAACACTGTTTCCTATTTTGTTTCAGTTTCCCTTGAACCAAGAAGAAGGGGGAGATTCAATCCCATGTAATATAATACGGTTCCGATGTCCAAAATTTTCCCAAAACTCTTCTGACCATTAGCTGTCCTGCCGCCAAACCTGTTGATCAAGGGACCATTTCAAAAAGAAAAAGGGCGGACAGGGGACCCCTGAGTTAGCTTCAGCTGAGGAATTACACTTTGTCCCAATTTCATAATCTTCCTTTCTTGAATTTAAAGGGGCTTGGGTTCCCTTGGGGAGGATCGTATAGCCTGCACTGTCAAGTCCTTTTTTCCTTCTCTGCTCTTTTCCTTTATTAAAGTAACAACTCTAGCAATCACATTCTTGTCTATTAAGGCATTTAGTTAAATCTGATTATATTGGAATATTCCTTGCCCAAAAAAAAAAAAACTTTTTCTTCATAGAAGCGCTCTTTTAGTCTCTGAATCATTCCATCAAGCACAGAGCAACAAGCAGCAGGTAATTGGAAACTGAAGACAGAGATTCACAGGTCTGTATTTAATTTTCTTGATCTTTCTTTATTATTTCACTTTCATGTCAGCTAAAATCGTTCAACTAAACTGTTGTATGCGGGCCCTTTTGCAGGAGTTTAGAGTATTGTAGTATATTTTGTGTAGCAAAATTATGCGGTTAATTGTTGAATAGAATTTTCAAAACAAGAATAAATCATCACTAATACAAAAGGGATCTTTTCAACATGCATGAAATACATAAATTTTGGTCAGAAATAATTGTATGTAAAATCTGACCGCCAAAGCTGTAACTCCAATTGCAGGAAGTTACGATTAAAATGAAATTTACTGCCTTTTAGCCCTGTAGCCGAGAATGCTGTTATATTGGAGGATAATTTGGCTCAAAAAAAAAAATCAAAGATCCTACTTATGAGCATCAGTAAAGATTTGAAAAAGGATATTTAATTGGAACTTTTCTGTTTTGACTATCTGAAAGCTTTTATTGGAGGGAGAGTGGTCTGGATTAGTTTATTGGATTACTAATGCTGGAAAAGATAGCCATTAATCATGTAACCTTTCTTTAATCTTAAATTAATGCATTATTAAAACATAGGCAATAGTGGTCATTTGAAACAAGAATTAGTTTAGTTTTTGTTGTGGTACTTATTCGTATCTCCTGCACCACTTTCCCTAGAGCCTTGAAGTCACTTGCTTTAGCTATGCTAACAATTATATCCGGAATCCATGAGCTAGTGGAAAAGTATTCATTGCATTGCTTTGTCATCAGTAGTTTTATCTTTGACATTATAATCTTCCTCTGTTTAAGAAGTTGATTAGGGACATGAACCATGACTTTTATAAGGAACTGGGGAATATCTATACCAGATCGATGGATAACCAAAAGGTGCATGTGCAGATAAATAAAGGGGGGAAATAAAAACTTGGCATTTGATTTTTGTTCATGTACACACACTCATGAGCTAATAGGCATGTACTTTATGTTAATGTGCACATAAATGTTAGCATGTTACAAAGTATTTGGTGGACAAATAACTTTCATCAATTGGTCAGGCACTTGATCTGATGGTGATAATATTATTGTTTCATTCCTGAGCAGATTTCAAATTCATGCTATAGTATTACAATTACTTTCTTTCTTTCTTTCTAAAATGAGTAATCATTTATACCATCAAACAGGGGTCTTGCAGCGGCAATGGACCAGAATAGTGTGGAACTGCAGGCAGAAAAAATTCTTACACTTCTCAGTCCTTTCGCACCGAGTAGCAATCATAACACAGAAAAAATGCCTTCGCACCGAGTAGCAATCATAACACAGAAATTTCTCTTTGACATTTCACCAAACATCTTATATGCATTCACAAATTAATCACATTTAACTTAAACGCCTAGTCTCAAGTCCTTTCCTAGATGTTTCATATGGCTATTAACCATATTTTACCCGTAGACAATCAAAACTACAACCATTTCCTAGATGTTTCAGTGGACATTTTCAGCCCCAAAATTGCAATAAAATCTTCAAATACTCAGCCTTGATTTCGTAAGAAAATCTTGACAAACAAAACAAATGAAATATAAATAAATTACAGCAATATAATCAAACGATTTCAAGTGGACATGATGGACTAACCTCGGCACTGCTCTCTTTGATTGGCTACCACCGTCGCTAACCCTTTTATTGTATCCGCATATGGCAGCACCCAAAAACAACCGATCGATGAGAAAGGATAGAGGGAAAGTGGGAACTGAAGATGAAAATTTGGAAGTGAGAAAATTTATGCAATTGAAACCAAGAGAAAGTGTGGACTAAAGTGGAATCCTTTGCCTGGGAATTCAATTGTATCGTTGGAACTGAGAACTAAGTAATAAGAAGGCAGATGACTTTAAAGAGATGATACCCGGAAGTGTTTCAGAACCCAAAATCGTTTTCAGAAACCGGTAACTTTTTTACTTAAATATGAACATTTTTTACTTTTAGTATTAGTAAGTTTGATTCAACCATAAGTAAATTTTGTCAAATAATAAGTAAATTAAATTACTCAAAGTGTAAATTTCTATTTTGACTAAAACTTATCTTTCAGGCATAAACTTACTAGTTTTAATTAAAAACTTACTAAAGTTAATATTAATTATTTTAATATAATATTTAAAAAGTCGCTAAAAATTTGGATCTGTCACTAAAGGTAATAGAAACCTGTAATAGCAGGTTTCCTTAATATCGTTACCATAACTATAGGCACTGTAGCATTGTCCTTATATATATATATATAATAGTAAGAAGTCAAGACAAAACTCGCATAAGTTGTCGAATCAAATAACTCACGCATTTAGACAAAACTCCAAGTCAAAAACTTTTAACATTCTCTGCACCTTCTTTTAACACCCCTGTGTTGCCATAACGGTCAACTCCATTACCCGTTCATTTGCTACTTCCGCGCGTACGTGCGTGTGCGTGTGTTTTTTTTCAAATAAAATAAAATAATGTATGCTGTAGGACAGGTTCATGCATGCTCTGCTAAATGCTAAATTCGCTACAGGTGCATTCCAACCCAGACAGAGTGTCCTCCTTTTTTTTTTTTTTTTATACTTTGTGTGATCTCTTCAACTTTTATATGCTTTCCAAAAGTCCACTTTCTTGGATTTGTTGTTACCTAACCCAAAAAATTTTTTTTTTTATCAATCAGGTATTCAACAATTGCATTGGCTGAATCATGAATGAGCTGAGCTACGGGTTGCTATTACGAGAGTTCCCCTGGTCTTTTGCCCCGAAAGAGACCTTAATTCAAGAAAACCAACAAGGAAAACATTTAATTCTGATCCGCTAGCGGTAAGACAGGTTTCCTGCTCATAGAAAGGGACACAATTGCGGAGATAGATTTATTTACAATATCCAACATACAACTCAACTCATTCGATGCACTTAAACTAAAAGAAAAGATAAGATAGATCATCCCGTGCTTGTATCTTTTTTTTTTTTTTTCGACACATGGGTGTCCGGATCAATTCTTACGGGGTCCGACTAATCCCCTGCGGCCCGAGCCCGGCGTCCCAACCCAACCCTAGCACGTTAAGTGCGCGGAGGAATCCAGCGGAGTTGAGACTCGAACTCGGGACCTCTCGGTCCCTGTGGGAGGAGGCTACCGCTGGACCATTTACGCGGGGGCCGTGCTTGTATCTATTATTTAGATATAGAATGTCTTTTAAGTCACTCTTTATTTTATAGGTGAACTTTTATTCGATTGGCCGATAAGTTTCTCCCGACTTACCTGGGAAAAAAAAATTTCTCATTTCACTCTCAAGTGTCAAAATTAGTTAACGTCTTTCTACTACATTTCCTCCCGGATTTGGGGCTTATAAGTGGTAGGTCAGTGGAGTGAAAGAATTGCAAAATAAGCTTCCGATGAGTCAGTCAGCGACTTGTTTGCCTTGAGCTAGTAGTAGCCATGTGGCTCATGCCATTTCCCCACTAATTTAAAGCTTACAATTTGGCTTAATTGGTCAGCATGCAGAAGATGTACTAGTATTAAACGAACTTCAAGATTTTTCTTATTTATAAGTAATGGTCAAAAGTGAGAAAAAACTTAGCAGTGCAGTACCGCTTCCTTTTCATTAATTTCATTTCCACGAGTACAACAGAGAAAGCAAAGGAAGTTTTAACAGAAAAGCAGACATGGCTGCTGGACTCCATTCTTGCATTTTCTTCTTTCACACGTTAGTTGTCTTGGAGGTAATCTTTCAGTTTCTGCCATGCAAAACACTACTACTACTACTACTTTATTGCTTTGCAAGTATTTGATGGTTGAGAAGTGCTTCTTGCCACCAATACAGCTCGTTCTAATTCCTGCTATGCTATGAATCTCATACTGCTACAGAATCTGAAGCGTGTGCATGACTTTGATCAATTTGAATTCGATTGCAGTGTGTTTGTGGCAGTAGAGCCAGGAAAATTGCTGAAGAACCCTTAAATGTTCATGATCATAAAGAGACGCGCGAGATGCTACAAACAACCAGGCACAACCTTAATGCTCCGATCTACGCACCAGACAGCGACAATCTCGGCCGCAAGCATGTAGCAAATGGAGTGCCGGAAAAGCTTGATCAAATGAGTCCATCTGTGTCGTCGGATAAAGATCATATGTACGAGCTTGCAGTAAAGGTTTTCTTCACCGACAAACAGATCAAACTTGGGAACAGGATTCCAATCTATTTCCCCGTCGTAGAGCCTTCTGCCAGACCCCCTCTACTGTCTAGAGAAGAAGCTGATTCCATTCCGTTTTCATCGTCCCAACTGCCGTATCTTCTCCATCTCTTTTCCTTTTCCCAAGACTCCCGCCAAGCCAAAGCGATGATAGATACACTGAGCCACTGCGAATTCAAACCAGCGACAAAGGACGCCAAGTTTTGCGCAACGTCCCTGGAATCCATGCTTGACTCTGCACGTGAGATCCTGGGATCAAAAGCCCCACTGAAAGTTGTAACTACGAATCACCTAACAGAACAAACCTCTAGCATATTGCAGAACTATACAATCCAGGATGAACCCCGAGTGATCTCGCCTGCCAGAATGGTAGCATGTCATGTTCTGTCTTACCCTTACGCAGTCTTCTACTGCCATACTAAAAAGGATAACAAGCTTCTCAAGGTTTCGCTTGTGGGCGAGAATGGAGGAAGAGTGGATGCTGCAGCTGTTTGTCATATGGATACCTCGGATTGGGACCCTAATCATTTAGCATTTCGTGTCCTGAAAACTGTGCCCGGAGGCTCTCCTATTTGCCATTTTCTCCCAGAGAATAATCTTGTGTGGGTTGCATCGACTCCTGTTTATTAATTTTAGCCAGTTTTGTAAATTCTACATGTTTGGAGTGCTAATCCCAGTACTCTCCCGAAATGAAATCTACCTGTTGTGCAAATCCACAATGCTTGTTTTTGTTCCATTTTGTATTTGCTTTTATTTGAAGCGACGGCCAACTAGCAAATTTCATCGTCTGCAGGAATCTAACTCAGAACTGGGGAAATTAGCAAAAATCTATGTGGTGCTGTTGTTTAGATAACTACTCTACTAACTACATCTGTGAGTTGCATCCTTCTGTGCTGAGTAATTGTTAGAGATTCTCAGTTGCTACTAATTTGAGAAGTTAATGATAAACTTAAATCGAGCTTACGTTGATAGCACAGCGGTAAGTGCTTTTTTCCTTATTCCTTTTTTTTTTAAAATTTTTTTTTTTTAAATTTGGTTTCGAGCGGACAAGCAATCAGTCCAAAGAATGGGGTTCATGTTGTATAACTCTTAGTAATTTGAAAGAGGCGATTTATGAATGGTACTCTAGTAATTTGAAAGTCACTTGTGCTCTTTTGCGCTTGCTTTTTTATTTTTGCCTTTACTTTTTATGTTGTTGTTAGTCTGAAATCTGAATCATGGTTTGGAATTGGAGTTTCCTTTAGTAGTATCATTTTTTTTTATAGAGAATTGGAAAACCTTACATCTTTATAAATAGCAATTGCACATATCTTCAAAGGTTAAATTATCGTAGCTTCAATTGCTCTATATCTCTTTTAGGGTCAGATTTTTATCAAATTCCAGTTGAAAACATCACATTTGCACACTTGAAAGGTACATCAAAGATGGTGAACATCGATTCGATAAGGACTGTTATTGGGATAATTGGAAATGTTTATATCTTTCGACCTCTCTCTCGACCGTCCCAACATTCGTAAAAATATGTAAAGCAAAATCAGTTGCGGAATTCAGATCAAACCCTTATATTGTGACGCTATTGAATTGTGCAAATGTGGATATTTTATGGTATTTCATTTGTAAAATCTCAAACCGTCTTAGTTTCGACCATCAATGGTATTGGACTTGTTAAAGAGGCCATCTACCTCTCACATTATTCTTTGTTCACTCCGATTGATTTGTGGGAAAGGCAAACGATCATTTATTTGCTCATGACTGAAACAATTGCAACTGCCATCGTAATTGGCATTACTCTTGCCGTCTAGCACGCCGAGAAGCAAAGGTCTATCTTCGTTGGTGTAATTTGCATGCTTCGTTGACAATTATGAAAAATGTGATCAAGAAAAAAGAGTGTGAAGTACATATCGCTTGCTAATTTGCTCAATGGTATTGTTTGGGTTATGTTATGCTTCACTCAAATTTGATTACAACGTTACGATTCCCAATGGTATTGGAGCACTTTCTGGACTCGTTCAGATTGCACTCTATGCTTGGTATTATCGCAGTACAAATTGGAAGGATGATGCCGGTCAAGAAGCCGTCTGAGATTCAATTCTCCAACAACAATGGGCCGGTGGCCTTGGTGGGGTGGGAGGCAAGATTTCAAATCTTGCCTTCCACTGATTGCCACACATAATAAGTGGCTCTTCTAAAAAATTCAGACGGATATGTAGTGCATTCGTTTAGTCCGATGATAATTTAGTCTCCACCTGTCTCCCCATAAGTCCAGTTGAGCCTCCCAATAGATTAGGATAGAATAAGATATAGATAAAATAGCGACGAATGACAAAAAAAAAGAAGAAGAAGAAGGCAATAGGCACGATACTTTGATAGGATTTTATATGTGGTTTCTTTTTTTCAATAAATGTGGCTTTTAGAGAAAATATTGGCTTCTGTAGTTTTCTTAATTGATTAATTTTCTATACATTGAAAGTGTATACATTTTTACAATTACATGACACATAATTTAAATTTGAATTTAAAATCCAAATTTTACATATGTGTCATGCATTCAACTATAATAGTGTATACACACTCAGTATATTTATACATAATATTAATGTATATTTATAATATATTAATTTATACATTTATATAATATTCATTTATAATTTATACACATTTATAATAATATACATTTATACATTTATAAATATATTCATATTATGTATTATATATAATATAATACATTTATAATACATTTATATATTTATTTATAAATAGTTATAAATGTATATAAATACATAAATGTATATAAATATAAAAATTATAAATTATAAATTATAATATACAAATATATTTATTTATAAATATTTATAAATGTAATATAAATGCATAAATGTATAAAAATATAAAAATTTATATTTTATTATTTATAATTTAAGCATTTATACATTTATACATTTATATAATATTCATTTATAATTTATACATTTATAATAATATACTTTTATACATTTATAAATATATTTAATTATGTATTATATATAACATAATACATTTATATATTTGTATATAAATATATAAATATATTTATTTATAAATATTTATAAATGTATTATAAATGTATAAATGTATATTATTATAAAAATTATAAATTATAAAAATAATCGAAAACATGTTTTAAAAATACATCTAAAAATAATCCATAAAACATCTACAGTAAAAGTTTTTCATATAGTTTTTGAAAAACAATCCCAAAAACAACTAATCCAAACGGACTTGTATTTGAAAAACGAAATGCTACAGTATTGTTTTTGAAAAACAATCCCAAAAACAGCTAATCCAAACGAATCCTAAGTTTTTTAAAAAGTTATATGACTCTTACCGCTATACATATCTAAGTCTTCTTATCATGTTCAATTACTTGCTAATCTTATTTTACAACCATCTCATCTTTTCTTGACCCTCACATTTAAGTAGTTTCTCTCACCTTTATAACTAAAATAAAATTTTCAAAAACTACCAATAACCTCTTTTCTTTAGGAAAAAAAAACCATATTAAACATACACTCCAATTTATAAGCCTAATAAAATTTCAAATACTCACCAACTAATTACATGGTTTCATTCGATTAACAGATTTTAATATGTTTTATTGGCGATGGTTGACACTAATTATCGTCATGAGTCCTTTACCTTTCGTTTATTTGCGAAGATGCCCAGTTCTTAGTTTGATTACTTCTTATCCCCTTTCAAACCTTGTCGAGGCTGCCGTGGTACGCAGCCCCGTCTCCTCTGCTGCTTCTCGTTCCTGCATAGACAGAGACTGCGAGAGCATAATCAGAAAAATGGTGGCTTCAACAATTGCAGCTCCGTTTTGTTCACCCAGAGTCTCTTATCCACCGAGAACGACGCCGTATTTAGCTGCGTCATCCCTTGATGGGTATCCTCAAATTCACAATACAGAGACACACACACTGATACTCAAAGCTGCACTTATTTGTTGTTACTTTGATAATTTCAATTCTGTTTATAGATTGTTTTCTCTTAGGAATCAGAAGCGATCTTTACCATCTGCTCTGCCCAATCCCCGTGCTGATTTATCTGCAATTGGTAAGTGTTTGATATTTTTGAACTGATAATAAACCTAAATTATTTATTATTTTTAATACCCATTGGGGAAAGAAGTGTACTATCTTTTCATTTTCTTTTCTTGTCTTCTTTCCCCGTACAATCAGGTCCTTATTTGGTTTTAGGAACATTTGTTAATTATTGTTCCAATCAGTTTCTTAACAACGTTATTGGTAAATTAGCAGGATTATCTAGTAAAACAAACGGGTTCTTGTTAAAGCATGAGCAGAATGATCCTTGTGCTGGCTCGAATTCCAGGTTGTCTATCGTCTCCTTGTATTGTATTAAGCTTACAAATATTAGTCCCTACTCTAAATGTATGCTCATTTCCATGTGTGTAATGCGTCTTTATGGATATAGGACTCATTTGCAGTTTTCTTTTTTTTTTCAAATGTTGCACGTGTTTATGAGCAGTTAAGTTTCATTCATTTTCTGCGTGTTTGGGACAAAATGAACTCACTGTTATGAATGTCATGAAGGGATTGGATTGTTCTTTAAGGAACGAATGTTCATGCACAATTTAGTATTGTTGACTATTAAAGGTGTAACATAAGGACGATTTTGCTCCTATCTAATTAATACCATCATTTTTTTAGGGGTTTTTTTTTTAAGTTAAAAAATTTCAGCTATCTTATGCTTATTGTCTGAGGAAGAAAAAGTTATGGCATTCTTTTTTCTGAGGTTGGGGCATAAAGCATCCACATTTCATGGGCTTTCAACTATTGAGAAATCAAAGTAGATACAAGACTGTTGTACTGATCCAATAAGGTGGCTGTCTCCATCTCAAATATCCAGCATTATGCTGTTATTATGCAAATAGTACATTAAGTTTGAACATGCCCACATGAAATATATGTCTAGGCTATTTTTGCCTAGCTACTAGCTAGGGTGAAAAAAGGAACTCCATCTGCGATGAAGTGGTGTCTAGAAAATAATTGTGGTGGCAATAATGAAATGTTCCTTTGTAGATATTGTTGAATTTTGCTTCAGGGCTTCCTCTCAAAACTCGTTGTAGTGGACCAGAGTACACCTTGTCGTTGAAATATTTGTTCTAAAAGTGCCTAACATTAGTATCTTTACTATCACTTAATCACTAAAGACAATTTAATTCTCTGTGATTGGTTGTTTGTGGTGCAGATTTGACATGGACAGTATCCAAAGTTTCTTTTAGATTTTTCATGCTCATCTTTTACATGGAGAATGGTTTCCTTGATTTTGAGACACTATGTTCTTATGATATTTCATCGCCTACAGTTATGGTCCTATAGAAGCCAAAAAAGGGAACCCTCCCATTATGCCGGCTGTAATGACACCAGGGGGACCGCTGGATCTCTGTACTGTCCTATTTAGGAATCGCATTATCTTTATTGGTCAGCCAGTTACTTCTCAGGTGGCTCAACAAGTTATATCACAGCTCGTGACTCTGGCCACTATTGATGAAGATACTGATATTTTGGTGATGTTATATTACCTATCAACCATAAAGTTAAAATTTTAGTAGAGTGACATGAATAATTGATAACCAGTATTGCATTTTCTGCATGTCAGATGTATCTGAACTGCCCAGGAGGGAGCACCTACTCTGTCTTGGCAATCTACGATTGCATGTCCTGGGTAGGCATAACTACTCTTTCAAAGTTCTGTCAGTGATTTTATACTTGGATTGATATTGCATGCCTTTTCTCCTCTGTAAAGCTCATATTATGCTTGAATTTTCGATGTTTTTTTAAGAGTTTGTAATTAGAAGATTTGCAGTTGGTTTAATGTCTTCACTCATTGCTTTTACAAGCGTAGCTTCTCTTTTGGCAATTGTTTTGTCTCTGATAAAGCCTAAGGTCGGTACAGTATGTTTTGGAGTTGCTGCAAGCCAAGGTGCGCTGCTGCTTGCTGGTGGAGAAAAGGGCATGCGGTATGCGATGCCAAATGCACGTATTATGATACATCAACCGCAAAGTGGATGCGGGGTACAATGCCATTCTTTATTTCAATTTTTTCTGCTTTTGGAGTAAATGTCATCATTGATGGACCTTAAAAAAGAGAGAGAATGAGGAACAAATTTAATAATAGCTTATAAAGTGCAATGGTGTGTGCACCAACTTTCTGTTACTCTTGGGTTTCCCTTATTCAACTTCATTTCCTAGAAGGAAAGGACAGGATGGTACAGAATGATGATAAATAGGTTATTTTATCTTTGGCAGATCTTTATTTCGACACAAAGAAACCACCGTTTTGCTAGCTTCTTTTGACATAAAGAAACCATTTTTTATGCTTGGCAAGATTGATTAACTGTCCGTCACAAATGGTTTTATTTCTTCTTGCAGGGACATGTGGAGGATGTAAGGCGCCAAGTGAATGAAGCAGTTCAATCTCGTCATGTCAGTTTTCTTTCCTAATCAGCTTCTTTACTTTGATGTTCTCCACTAATTATTTCAGTTTATGATTGGCTCTTCCGGCTTCTTTGCTGGAATTTGGTATACCAACATGTTGTTAAAACAGAAACCAACAACCAATTTGTTGTTTCTTTGTATAGAACATCTCTCCTCTGATGTCAATGAAACTTTGATTGCTTAGGCTGGGTTTCTGTTAGTATGATATTTATCTGTGATCCCAGACTTGTTATAATTTCTTTTAGTACTTCTACTACCTGTCAACTTATAGTTCTTCACTCCTTAAATTGTTATGTAATGCAGAATATTGACAGAATGTACGCTAGTTTTACTGGCCAACCTCTTGAGAAAGTGCAACAGTACACTGAAAGGGATCGTTTCTTATCTGTCTCTGAGGTAATGCTGCTAGCTTTGTCCTCTCCTTTTAGTTTATATTACACAAATTATTAAAAGACTTTGTCCATTAAGTGGAATTAGTTTGAGAACATCGGCTTTTTTTACTGTAGCTGCCACATTTGTTAGCAAAAGTAGCATTTCTTCATGGCTATCTTAATTGCAGGCTATGGAGTTTGGTCTAATTGATGGGGTTTTAGAAACAGAATACTAAAACGTAGACGTGATACGTGAAGCTATAGCATGTTTTCCAAACAGTGACTTGCGCTAGTAAAAATGGCAGAGCATAGCGGGGCTTGATGTTGCACAAGCAAAGTGGCAGCACGGCATGGCATTGGACATGTGCCATTTAGCAGGTGCCAGGCAATGCTTGTTTTGCAACCTTCTTGGAACATCTTGTTGACTGAGACATTAAATTGCAAACTCTCCCCAGCAAAATTTATTGAAATTCCTTGCTTTTTTACAACACACTTTGCATATTGTATCGCTTATGTAATTGGAAGTCGTGGAATGAGTCTCTGTTGTTGTGATACCAGTAGAACCTTAGTGAATCATTTAACCTGGACGTGTTATGCGTAAGAATAGAACCTGGCGAAGGTGTAAAATGAAACATCTTTGCTTATTGGTACGGCCGGTGCTTCTCTTCAAGTTGCTCTGCCGTGTTTGTACTAGAATTAAGTCATAAGTCAAAAGTGACGTGGTTTCTTGCATTCAATTCCCTCTTAATTTCTTGCACTAAGCAAATTCAGCACTGTGCGTGGTGGCGGGCAGAAGAAATTTGTGGTTTTACGTTCGTGATGCTGCAGCTGTCAAGTACATCTCTTACATTTAGAGTCAATTGTTCTTTCCCAGGCACATAGAAATTGCGATGGTAGATAAGAAGCATGATAAACAATTGAAGCCTTTTTTTCCTCTTATTATTCCTTTCAACTAATGCCACCAACTATATATGTCCCAACCCCATAGGACCAAGACATCTCCCAACCCCCTACTCCTAAGAGGAAAAAAAGAGCAAATGGAGTACAAACATTTTCCATCACGTGATGAGTTTACAACGGGATGAGTTTACGAAAAGGTCAATCAATTGGGCATACAAGCCAATAGATACCTTTTAACTTTGGTCCTACAATCAAAGAAGAACATTCTCAATAAAATGCAAACCATACTAGCAGCGTCTGTCAGGTCCATCTTCCGAACTCTGCTCGTCCCACAAGATGACGTCACTGCGGATGAAATTGCTTATGAACCTGGGAAGAATTGAAATCAAGCACAATGAAATTCAGGTTATATCGTGTCCCCGAGACGCCACCTAATCATAAGATATCTCGAATTCTACTCCCAAACCCTCCCTTTTCTCTCTTCCCCTCTTACTCGGACCAAACAATAAATTCAGGTTATACCGAGGCTCACTTGCGTTTCCCATGTTTATTATTCAAAATATGCCCACAAACCAATAAAAAAGCATTCTTTCAAGTTTTGACATAAAAAGAAAAAAGAAAGCTAATAAAAAATGAGGTTTAAGACACCAAGAAGTGCAGATCCCAAAGTCGTTTATTGGAATACAGAAATTATTAACTTAGACCGCACATTGCTCGACATGATAAAACCAACCACAGCCTCCACCTATCAATGAAGAGCAACAACTCACCATTTTTCATTAGATTAAACTCGCCAAATAAGGTAAAAAGATGGAAATGGAGATGAATAACATGATAGTTTTCCTTGATCCCAAAAGGAGGGGGATGGAAACTTGTTTCAAACTTTTGACCACATGAAGGCACAGCGACCAGAGCATCAGTTGTTTCTGAGAATAGATTAACGGAATTAATTACTTCCTTCTGTATTTAAAAGTCTTCTATTTTATCCTACTTAGGACTCTTGTTTTTGTTTATTTTTTTGCATGCGTTATGATGGAAGGTCATTTGGGAGATCAAGAGAAAGAACCTTACCATAATTTTGATGCACCATAGTGTACTTGAAAATGGCTTTAACAAGGGAACCATAACTCATAGACTTCAATGGCCCCATATGTCTGCAACATACAGCAAACAAGAAATAATTCAAGCGAACCATTCTGATGCAAGAACTGAAATTGGCATTTGACACACTCAAATAGTCAATATTTATAGCAAAACAAACGCGATTTACAAAAGTCGCATTAAAACGTTTTGTGCCAGTATCAGGAAAAAATAGCGCGCACTCTCTCTCTCTCTCTCTCGGGAGGGGGAAGAAGCAGGATAGATCAATTATTATAGGGATTCTACCTGAAATCCGAATTTCAATGATACCAATGCCTAAGATATTTCAAAAAGCAGGCAAAGCAATGAACTAAAACCACAGTGACCGGGCCAGAATAGCACAATAGTCTATTTACACAATTTCAAGCAGAAACAGATGCAACTGTGGTGGGACTATTACAAAGTAATCCACTGAAGCATATCCGAGAAAAGTTCTTGGCACCTTAAGAATTGACAAAAACAGCAGCAATGAGGAATTTACTCCTATAAAAATAACATCGTAGCACTTTACTAATTTACTTACACTATTTCAGTGTACCGAAGTCTCCATGCTGGAAACCCAAGATGGCATCTTGTGGGTCCATAAATTAGTAGCAGATCAGGATCAGCTCCTCCAGAACCTGTTAAGACAATACTAACAAGAATAATATAAACTTGCACAGACAATGCTAGAAAAATATCTGCTAAATGTTCGGAAAATCTGGGAAGCCAAAAAGAGGCAAGACAGGATACCAATGGCTCCTAAAGCTTCAGCCATTTGAGGCTCTGTAAAATCTGACTTTTCCTTAGTACCATTTGCATAGTGCTTTACAAAGAGATAATTAGCTGCTTTGGCAACTGCTTCTTTTCCATCCTCAAATGAAACAAACTCCAAAGTCAGATTTCTGCGGGTAACAAGCCGACCATTAACAGCAGCCTCCTGCAAGAAATCACAATCCAAGTCTATTATGCACCATCTTTCTTTCAAGTTTATCAAAATTCAACTAGAGCTTTGCATCAAACCTATGACATTGGCTATATCAACACTTTTTCCCCCACTAAAGCCATACTTGGAAAGGGGTTACTTAGCTATTCCATTTAAATAATCATATCCTGTTGCTTCCTTTCATGTTTCCTAACACCTTTATTATCCTTCAGTCCACCATTACAAAGTTAATATTTCACTCTTCAATCCAAATAATTGGACTGGCTACAGAGACCATGTATCTTGAAAAAATATTACCACTCAGGCAATAAGCAGGAGAAAGGGCTTTGACACATCTCTTGGGCTCAACAACTCGGCAAATCAAAACTTCATTTACATTTTCACCATAATAACACACTGAACCAGCAGATTCCAAACATAAGATATTAAGTCATGCATACAAACCGCCCCTAATGTCTTTTACACAAAATAGATATGTAAAATTGATTACTTCATTAAAATATGCATCACAACGGAATATTGAACTGACAAGGTTGACATATGACATATACTGTCATGAATACTTGTAGAAAAGGATCTAGCTAATTGTGGATGAAGATCATGATACCTCAGACAAGTTTGCACTGCTGAATCTTTGCATGATAGGTTCCTTGTTCTTTTTCAACACACCTGCAACAGGAAAATGCTATCACACCTGTCAGGTGAAACTTACCAAAGGAAATGTTGAGTAAATTCTAAAGCATTTTCACTTTCTGGATATCCCTTTTACCTTCTGGATCATAAAGGCAGACACTTTTCACACCAATATCTGCAACCCACTGCAATAACTCCAAAACTTTTGAAAGTTCTTGAGCTTCTTCACTGTCTATTACCATTGCCAAATAACGAACCTTGCTGATATCAAGGGCTTCATATTTCGTCAATATATCACTAGCAATGAGAAAGCTCTCAAAAGACTGCACTACTCCCAGCAGAAAGTACCATATGGTGACGGCAAAATGCAGAATGAGCCAAAGTGCACGAAGACCCAGATTTCCACTCTAAACATAAATAGTAAAGTCAAATGAATATCCACAGAATAATGATCATCCGAGGACACGGAAAAAGTATCGTACACCAATCAGCCCAAACAACAACATGAATCGATATTGTTAGTTATTGAAGTAAGGAAATATCAAGCATTTACCAATCATAAGGCCAAGTAATCTCCAATTTGAGATTGACTAAGATTGAAAAATGCTTGAATTTGATTAACAGCACGGCAAAATAAATTACCCTTTTTCCTGGATAAACTTTAAATTCTACTTTTTAGAATGTTCTGACTGGGAATCATCTAATATTGTTTATAAGGAAAGCTATCCCTTGGTCAAGGTCACAATCATCACCACGTAAAGAAAGCCAAACCCAGCATCACAAATGTGGCCTATTGCGTAAAATGACTGAAGCAGATTAAGAAGTAGCTATAGTCCCAGAACAGATTCAGTGATGACACCTATAAAGAGAAAATAGCCCAAACTAATGACATGAGACAAGTGGAAGATCCAGGAGCTTATCTCGTAGTCCATTATATAGGTAAAACAAGCTCTTGCACAGAAGTCATTTTGAGGAGAAAAAGTGATTCCAAAAAGTTAATCGAGTGAAGGCGAGTGTTCCACCATGTTTAGCTCTTATAAATATGGTAGTGGCGTCCAATGGTTCAAATGGTTAGCAAGTTCTTACTTTGTGCATTTAAACCATGAACACAAAGAGGCATAAGCCCAGAAAAAAAAAAAAACCAAGATCTGGAGACATATTTGAATGAAAATTTTCCAATAGAAGAAAATTTTTATCCATGTTAAAACTCAACCCAACTAAATGCCCTAAGAAGCACTTGAAAATAAAACCAACAATAGGGATTTGGGAAAAAAGAAAGAGTAAAATTCTTGAACCTCAATCACTCACCCGGGAAGCCCATTTAAGAAGCTCCTGTGTTTCATTTCCATAATTCTCTGGTCCGTGTCTTGCTGCCTCGCTAATACACACAAGCTGATGATCATGTACAATTAAGAAGATCTTAGTAGTGCAGTGGTAGATTCTTGAGGGTAACAAATCACAAGAAACCTGATCACACTTACAGAATCGAGGAACAAGTACTATTGAGTAGATGCATGTTTTTCTGTTAAAGAGAAAGTACGGAAGCATATATGGTCAAAGGGAGAGCAAATCACTTACCGAAACAACTGAGAAGAAGAGGAGGATCACTAAGCAAGATCTCATATTTTCCGTCTTCAAATTAGTTAGGAAAGGTACTAGTTGAATTTCTAGTCTTGTTTTGCAACTTATCTGGGGGAAGGAAACTGTGCTCCTCTGACTTTTGTATATGTAGTTCTTCACCACAAGATTTGAGTTCAATACCACCACTATTTTTTATTTAACCTAAAGTAGATTAAGTGCTTAGGAATGTTGCCAAAGGGTGTGCGGTTTGCTGATGTGTCGCTTTGTGATGGGTGGAAAAGTTGTAGTCCTGCAGGTGCTCAATGCCTGCTTTGTGATATTGTTACAGCGTAGATGCGGTGTGTTCTGCGTGCTTGTATGGAACCGACAAACAGAGTCGTGGTGGCGATAAGCTTGTCTGATTAAGCACGAAAACCCGGTTGCCTCGTCAGCGTGGTCGTCCGTCACGTGGCAGCATACGATTGGTTGGATGGTGCTGCTGTTTTTCTTTTTTCCCTTCTTTTTTTGCAGTTAAAGAACGGCGGAATGGTTGTTTGGTAGTAAGCTTCTTTCTTCATCACCTTCCCACCGGCGCTCTATTCTGTACTATACTGTACAACTTCCTCATGCTGTCCAATTTTTTTTTTTTTGGGTCAAAAAACAGCGGAATAGTTGTTTGGTAGTCGGTTGTTGGCTGGCTTTGGCAGAGAGCTTTTCTTTCTTCACCTTCCCATCGGAGCTCTATTTCTGTACTGTACCGTACAATTCCTCTGATGAGAGATCGTGACTTTTCTTTGCTTCCTCTTTCTCCTTCTTCCTTGCCATTTGACTTTCATGTGGTTGTGTATTTGTCGTACAATTTTTGCACAGGCTATTTTCTCCTTGTGGCTGCTCCTGAACCGGTGAAGCAGTCATTGGCTAATGTAGTCGTTGGGCTCCTAGCCCCGTTGATATTACCGTTTTAACACTCCGCTTTGCTCTTTTTTACGGTTGCCCTTTTATTGAATTTTTTTGTTCTGCTATTTTCTGGAGGTTGTATTGGTAATGTGGTGTTGGAGAAGGTGGGCGAAGTAACTTTGTGCTCAGCAGCTGTACATTTCGCCCACTGTTTCTTTCTGTTCTATCCCGAGGATTAGGTGCTTGTTTCGGTTCTTTTCTTCAAAAAAAAAAAAAAAAACTCTTCTTGCTTCTTCTCTTCTTTCTTCCAAAGCCTCTTCAGCCTTCTGGTTCTTTTTCCCCCACATTATTTGCGAGTTTTGTTGTCTAATTTTTTTCTTTTATGATGTTGTAATGTTGCAGGTACAGATTTTGAAAATTTGCTCCACCACCCTCATGGGATTTTGTAAATTCTGTTTTCTCTTTTGAAGGTCGCCTCTATATGGTAAGTTTCTAAAAAATGGGTTATTTCCTAACCCAATAAGTCAACCTTTTCTCCTTCCCAATCTGCTCGCTGCATTTTTTTTCTTTAATTTAAATATAAATTTGGAATGTTACTGTCCCTTTTGCTCATTTCGGGTTCATTTTAGATGAGCAACGCTGAGCTTTTGACATTTTGTCGAAATTCTATATACCAGACGTTTTTCCTTTCTGCTTTCTGCTTTTGGCTTTTCATTCATCTTTAAGTGAGTAGAGTTGATTTTGTTCTTCCAAAAACATAATTGTATGCAGGATTAGAGGCTTTACAGGCAAGGCTAGCTGAGATGTGTATTTGAGGGGGCAACAACAACAGAAACCAAAGGAGTTTACTTTTTTGGGTTAAGGTGAAGACCCTCTTGATCTCAAGAAATGTTTTATTGATCTTAATAATCTTCAAGCCAGAGAAGACTCTGCTATTAGGTATTTCGAATTATTTTTTTTAACTTTCTGACCAAGTTGTGGATTTGGACTATTTTGTGATTATTGTGGTTGATTTTATAAGTGGCATTTTTCATCAGGCAAGGTGAGTTAGAGGCTGAAAGATTTGGGATTGGTGATACAGCTGAAGCTCAGAGCATTTTTTATGCTCTGTCCAAAACGTAAGTTGTTGTGTTTGTCATTTCTTTATTGCTGTTTCTTGATCTTCTATTACCGGTTTGACTTTCTCAATATGATTTTTCAGTATATTTTAAGAAGTTTTTTCTTTCCTCTTGTACTGGTTGAAAATATTGGTTCTTTGCAGTCTTGACTTGTTATTTCAATTTTTTGATAAATAAGTTCTGGCAATGCTAGTGTTGTTATGACATCCAATTGTTGGCAAAAAACATATTTTTGCATGAACTAAATGGCATGCTATTTCAAGAATTAACTGTGGTTATACAACTCTTAAGGGTCTATTGTCATAAAGAAATCTTTACTAATCAAAATAATTGTTTCCAGTGAAAGATCATAGATGTTGAGTAGATAGTATGGGCTATTGTTAATTTCACAAAGATGCTATTATTGGGCTATTATTTTGAGATTGTTAATTTCATAAAGTTCATTGGGCTATTGGAATAGCTTAGCCTTGAGCATCAGATGCTATTATCAGGTTTGAGATTGTTAATTTCATAAAGTTCATTGGGCTATTGGAATAGCTTAGCCTTGAGCGTCAGATGCATAAAACAACTCCATTTTAGAAGTTGTGTTAGATGCAGAATTAGAGAGCAAGACTGCTGAACAATCTTATTCCTATGCGGAATCTCTTTTTTAATTCTTCAAATGCCATTGTGCACCATATGAATGTTGTACGCAAAACAAATCCATCCATCTTGTCTAAATTCATGAGAAGACTAATATATTTCTTCTTGCCAACACCACCAAGGGAGACATCTTCAAGGAAACATGTCAATCCTTCTAAATGGCAGTCTTCTGCTTTCAACTTTGGTATATAATTTTCATTTCTTCATATAGGAATCTGGTTAGAATCATCTGATTAACCGAGCCTGAAATTGTTTAATGTCTATGGTCTTCATTAGAAATTTCTCAGGAGAACAGAAGAGTAAGCCCCCTGAGCTTCTTAAAAATGCAGTTAACTGACTCATGGACATGAGTGCAAGCAGCTGGCTTTGGTACTTTAGTGAAACTCTACAGCATTTCTGGCATCCTGAATCCATTATAGCATAGCATGCTGACATTTTTGGGCAAAGCTAATAGAGGTGCTACACGGTGGTGATTCCCCCATCCCCCCTCCCAAAAAAAAAAAAAAAGAATGCTTCTCCAAATTTCTCTCTCTCTCTCTCTCTCTCTCTCTCTCTCTCTCTCCCTCTCTCGTGCGCGTGCGCACACATACACACACATATCCTGATTAGACCATCACATTTGAATATTTAATACATTCAGCTACCTTATGTCATCCAGAAAAGAACTATCTGGATGACCATTTGTATGTTTTCATTTAAGAAGAGTTGTTTTAGTGATTGTTATGGTATTATTTACTGTTAGTGGCTATTTTTCATTTAGTATTTGTTCTACCTTTAAATTTATCTTATGCATAACCCCAAATAAAGATGAAACAAAGGATTATGATTCATATTACTAATTTCATCATGTATACAGGCTTCCAGTGCGCTGGGACAAGACTACTATAGTTGTGATGAATGAAGTGCGCATTACTAGCCCATATCTTCCTGAGTCCGTCCTTGGAGGAACTCCAGCTGCCAATGAGCTAGTGGAGAAAGTGGTGAGACTGTCAACTGGGATGCTTCTAAAAGTTGAACTCTATTAAGTGAAATGCATAGTGTCATCTCACCTAATTACTGACTTTTTTATCTTCTGTGTTTTTGCTAGCTTGAGTTTGAGAGGAAGAGATTACAAACTCACTATGCTGGTCAATGACTATGTTACTCTGTCATGCATTGAGGGTGAATTGGTGCCATCGTGTTCGGATTACTAAGGGAATGGCTTCTCAACTCTCTGAGCATCAAGTTCTTTTTGGATTGGTACCCAGTTTTGATGGAGAAGTTTCCCTCATGCAGTTGTAAGATGTTAGAAGTTTAGGCATTTAAGGAATTTTGTTTTCAACAAAACCCTGAGATTTGCTTTCTTTATCACCACATTACTTCCCAATGCGTTTACTGCTGCATGCTGTTAATTTGATAGAGGGCATGGGTTATATGCATCCAGACAGAATTACACCAAGATAAGCTCATGAGTTGATGCCTATTAGATTGTAAAATGCAGTTTCTCATTCTGTTATGGGATGATCAATGTATAGCAGGAAAGCTAGAGACAAAAATGTGTTGACTTCCCAGTGTTGGAGCTCTAGTTTTTACATGTATCTGTGTTTGTGCCTGCACAATGTTGCCAAGAGTTTTTATGCTGAATAGCATTTTGGGAGCTACTCTTAAGTTTTTATTTTGTGAAATAACTTAGGTGAGGCATGCTCAAGGAATCTATAATGTGGAAGGGGATAAGAACTATAAAGCATATATGTCTCCAGAATATTTCGACGCACACCTTACTCCACTTGGCTGGCAACAGGTAGGAAATAGCTGACTTCCTGTGATGCACAGTTGAATCTCTTACCTCTATTTTGTTGTCAATCTAGAACAAAGTCCTTAATGGTGACTATAGGGTATGACAATCTTTAGCTCCTGTATCAAGTTGATAATTTGCGCAAGCATGTACATACAAGTGGGCTTTTGAACAGGATTGAATTAGTTGTCACATCTCCATTGCTACGGTACCAATTCTCTTAACTTTTCGTGTATTAACTACCATAAGCTATCATTTTTGGAAAGAATGACTCCTCAAACTCTTCTATTCTGGCATTTTTGCAGTCAATGTTGGGTTTGCTTATCCAATTGCTTAAACATACATATTTTCATTTCTTGAACTACGTAAACTGAATTTCTTGTATGAAGAAAGAAACTCCAACAGAATTAGGCTGCAGCTAGCCTCAAAACCTGATAGTACCTCTAAATTATAGATCAATGACTGTTTCTTTGGTCCTTTCTTTTTTTGAGTATTAAGTTGTGGTCTGTCAATGCCATGCCCATATGGTTGAACACACATTTTCAAGTACAATGGAATGACGTTTTATAGTGTAATTGCTGTCAATACCTACTGTCCCCTGATTCAAGGAGACTAAAGTTAACCGTTATACATTCAACTGGATAGTTGCTCCACAAGCTCTAACCTGATATGAAAAGGCATGCTTTGGCACCTTGACTGTATGCTTGATTATGATGATTTATTCTTACACTACAGGACTATGCAAACTATTGTTGGGGTATTTGGTGGTGATGGCATACAGACAGGACGGATATCCTGCCACTCATGTTGGCAAATGCAGGAAATAGTCGGCGTGCTGCAATTTCAAATCTTAATTGTCCTCCTATCGTTGCATTAGAACTTTGTCGAGAGCATTTGGTAGGTCCTTTGAAGGTTATGTGTGCACTTTTGATTTTAAATGTGAACATTCTTGTGGCTGTGGATGGCATTTTGATCTTCTTGGTTTCAAGTCGGGTAGAAAGGAACCTTTGATTTAATTACTAAGCTCAAATGCTTTATCCAGTTCAAGGGAATTATTTGGAACTCTTGAATATTTCTTTTAGAACTCAAATATTACGACTACTTCCACTTAAATCCAGTGAATTTTTCATTTTCCTTTTTTTTCTTGTTTATGAAAGACTAGAGGATAGCTGGTAGAGGTAAATATATTACTCAAGATTCAGATTTTATTTGCATAATTTCTACATTCATATTGAAGCCTGAATCTTTTTTATCTAATAATCTGGTTGCAGGGTATTCGTCCATGCGATAAGAGAAGAAGCATCTAATAATCTTTTTCATATTTAATATTTGAATTTGAATAATTGGGCATTTATGGTCAAGATTAAAAATTACACAGTGCATCGCACGGTGTTATCCTCCTAGTCTTTAGCAAAATGGGTTGGGCGGGGGCGATTGGGTGCTTCGTGGTCCAGGTTAATTAACACATGACCACATGTAGCATGATCACTACGTAATATTGGCAGAAGAGAATGCATGCACAGTAGTTGCTATACCAAGAAGTAGTACAGACTTGTTTCACGCCCCAGAAGGGGAAAAAGATATACTCTAACATATAATACAGGATCGTGGTTGCACAGGGTCAACGCCAAATCGGCAGCTTCTTCGAGTCTGGACCCTTCTTAAACTAAACGATTTGAATAGATCATCAAAAG